CCCCTGAATCCACGCTGCTCTCCCTAAAATGCACATCCCAAAAAAAGTGAAGTACTCTCCCAAAAAATGGTGCAGTCCCCAAAAAAGTGGTGCCCTGCCCCAAAACCAGCCATGCTGGATTTGGCACCTGAACACACTCGACAGGGTGAAGCAGCAGCCTGCAGTAGTTGTTCCAGGTTTTCTGGTTTATTTTTATTKAAGGCATCCTATGGGATCCCTGCACTCATGGAGGGTTGCTGGAGCTTGGGAATCCACAGGGGAGTGTGGACAACATCCCTTCACATATCCCTGTGAGCCCTCACCAGGCATCAGYAGGGTCAAGCTGGGCTGAGCAGGGGGAGCAAAACCCACACAAACTGCCACCAACAACTTCATCCACAGCTTCAGACCAGATTCCTGGCATTCCCACTGGGAATAGGTCCATGCACCACACTGGGCATGGAAACTGGTGTTGCATGTGGGCACAGATGCAGATGGGATGGCAGGGAACAGCCAGGGAGACATCCAGCCTGGACACAATTGCACTGCTCTCCCTCTTGGGACGCAGAGATCTAAACCAGAGGGGGATTAAGCCACAGCTCCGAGGATGTCAGACCAGGATTGAGCTGATGCTGAGCTGGAGGTGGGATGGGCTTCGGAGGCCGGGCAGAGTGGGAAGAGAAGCGGCCGATTCCTGATTGCTGCCCCGCAGGGGGAACAGAAACGCCGTGAGCCGGTGGCTGCCACGCGCCGGGGATCGCGCTGGAGCTGAGCAGAGACGGATGAGTCAGAGGTTTCGGGCACAATGGGAAGCGCGGGCTCAGCAGGGATGGGGACATGCAGGGACAGGGAAATGCCGGGATGGGGCCTCAAGGCTGCCAGCGCTGCATCACCCTGAGCAAACGCTCCTCCAGGGCAGGGCAAGGAACAGTGAGAAAAACGTGGCTTTTTTTTTTTTTTCGCCTGGACTTAGGGAGAGGAAGGAAAAAGGTGAACTCATGGCAGTAAGAGTGGAGAGGGCTCTGCCACACATCCTTCCCGTCCTGCTGGGGCTGGCACTTCCCAGCTGGGGCTGGCAGGGTACCAGGGACCACATCCCAGCTTCCCCAAGGCACCCCCACTTCCCTCCTGCCCACTGCTGCCTTCTCACTTCCGCAGCGTTTTCTGTTTTATAAATTTCCGTTTCGTCATAAAACCCCAAAAASCAAAAACCCAGAAGCACAAGAGGAATAAAGAAAAACCCGAGCCGAAGCAGGAGCCCTGTTTCACCTCCTGATCCGAATCACCCCAAAAAGCCATCAGCTGCCCCCACATTCCACATGGGAGCTGGCACAGGGTAATTACAGGGCTCGAGATGGAGGTGCTGCCTGTGGACCACASAGCCCCAAAGCCCAGAGGGATGGGAGAAACATCCCATGGCAAATCCAGGCTGGACTCAGACATTCATGCCACCGGGAAATTCAGGAAACATCCTCCAAAAATGTCTCCACAGGCCAAAATATTTTGACAGAATTTCAGCCACTGCTTTCTCTGCTCATTGTCATCTTATACTTCACACCCAGATGGCGGCTGGAAGGAACTGATCCTCAAGAGGTCACTAAACTTGGAGACACAAATGTGGACCATCACCCTGGGAGTGCCCAAAAACTCAGACTCAGGGCTGGAAACCACAGCTCTGGCTGCCTATGGGTGCAGGAACAGGCACTCCAGGGCCTCTGTGCTGCACAAGCCTCATGGTTTGCATGGCCCCAGAAAAGAAACTTTCTTTTTCTTTTTCAGGATGTGAAAGGAGACCACAAGGCCGCGGTCCCACGGCTTCCCCACCCCACGATGACAGGACACTGCACAGGCAGCAGCAGATCAAACTGACACCATTTCAGAAGGGGAAGGCTGGGATCCCTCACGCTGCACAGGCACTTGTGGAGCAGTGCTGGGACCAGGTGTTGGGCCAAGGAGCCACATCCACAACACCACTGTCACCAAAGATTGTCCCCATCCCCCAGGCTGGGCTGCCAAAACRTCTGGGGTTTGAAATMATGGACTTCTTGAATGGCTYAGGCTGGAAGGAACCTTAAGGATTATCACATCCCAYSCCCTGCYRTGGGCAGGGACACCTTCCACTATCCCAGGTTGCTCCAAGCTCTATCCAACCTGGCATTGGACACTTCCAAGGATCCACAACTTCTCTGGGCRCCCTGTGCCAKGGCCTYCCCACCYTCACAGCCAAAAATTCCTTCCCAATATCCAATCTGCCCTCAGGCAGTGGGAAGGCACTCCCCCTGATCCTGGCACTCCACAGTGCCCATTTCCCAGGGCCCCACGAGGTGGGAGGCAGGTGCAGCAGGATGGGAAAGCCCCTGGATGTGATCTGTCACCATGTGGGTGAGTGWCAGTGACACTGTGCCATTGTCACTGTGCCGTTTGTTCCTTGGCCGGGGCTCAGGAAATGGCACAACGGCAGCAGCAGCCACAAAATCAACCCAAGACACCGTTTAACGGAGCTGTTTGCCCACGTACCAGGAACCCACTGCAGCTGGGGGGAGCCGGAGCAGAGCCACAGGAGTAAAAACCCTTTTCCAACACTGTCTTAATGCCACAGGCAAGAAGWATCATCTTCTAAGAGGAAAATTAATTTGTGCAAGATTAGATGCCATGGAAAATGATTTTACAGCTGTGGAGGACACTTTCCCAAAAAAAGCCACCAGCCCTGTGGGATATCTGGGAGCAGGCCCTGGCCCCACACAGTCCCAGGGTCTCTGCAGCAGCACTGGGAATCATTCATGGATGGTCAGACCAGAAACCATCATTCTCTGCAGCAGCTGCCCTTCATGCCTTGTTTTTCCTAGAAAAGGGGAAAATAACTATGGCACATCATGGGTCTGGCAGTTTCTGAGCCATGTTGTGACTGATATCACGACAAAAACCATAAGTGATTTATGTGGCTGGTGCTGAGCTGGCATTGCACACCATGCTCCCTCCTGGACCACACACCCTCCATCCAAGCAGAACTGGAAAAACTCCACTGGCTGTCACAGCCAAGATCCCAGCAAAGCCCAGAGGGACCATGGGATGGTGGCACTGCCACTGCTGTCCCCAGAGTGGCAGAGCCGGGCTGAGCCACTCTCCAAGGCTGTGGGCTGATCCAGCACAGGAGCATCACAGCTCTCCCAGGAAAATTATCCGTGACCTCCACACCCACAGCCCACGCAGTTTCCCATCACTTGAGCTGGTGTTGAAACCATTACAGAAAATTATCCTGGATTTAAGCGTGACTTTAGGCAAATGCCTCWGACTCCCAAACATCTCTGCCTGTGGCACCAAACTGGCTCCCACAGCAGCAGCACAGAGAGCTTTCCAGCTCGCTTATGACAGCATGTAACCAAATCTCAGCAAGGTGAGGCACAGGGTGGGTACCCAGCTGGGATGTGGGGGATTTGGTGCTGCTGGTTCCCACCACAGCCAGCCTGGAGGCAGGGCCCAGGGATGAGCACTTATGAGGAAAAGTTTGGGACAGATTTGGGCTGGCATGGCAGGAGGGACTGCCAGGGATAGGAATTCTCCAGAGCACCTGCTGCACCCCTGAGGCCAGGCAGAGCCTGACTCTAACAAAGCCAGACTTCTCCAAAGAGCCCCTGTGTTTCATGGAAGTGGCACCAAAACACACTCTCTCCAGGGAAATAGGACAAAGCCAGCTGGGACAAATGGGACAGGTGAGAGAACAGAGGTTGGCAAGAAGCAGGATCACCACCTCGCTCACATCCCATTTTCCGTAAGGGCTCCACACCCTCTCCTAGCCCAAAGCAGGCAGCCACCAGCCTCTCCAGACACGGTGGAGCTGAGYCCCAGGAGGATCCCATCCCCCATTCCAAAAGCCCTTTTTTCTCCCCACAAAAGAGCTGTTTCACATGGTGGCTCTAGGGACCGAGGCTCCTCCCCGCTGCCCTGGTTCGTGGTGGTTTCCTCTCCACAGCCACGGAGCAGCAGCAGCAGTTGGGTTTTACATCCCCTTCAGCAGGTGCAGCTGATGACAGGAGGTGACACCGAGGGTGACAGGGCCCAGCCCCCTCCCATGAGGCCCCTGTCACCCAGGGACAGCCACAACCTGAGCGCTGCAGGCCCGAAGMTGAGGGCACAGCACAGCAGCAGTCAGCGGGAAAGAGAAAGCACAACTTCCTCCCTTTTTTTTCCTAGCAAGACCCAAACCCTGTGCAAAAGGAAGTGCTGATATCACACGTCCTGTAGATAAAACACTCTTATTCCATCAGCTGCAAACCCCTGGGAAAGGCTGCTCCCCTCAGCATCACCACCAGCACCAAGCAGGGTGTCAGTGTCCCAGTGTGACACCATCCCTTTGCACTTTGGGACATCATCCCCACCCCTGCTGGGATCTGAAGATCTTTTCCTGACTTTTCTGGAACAAGAGCTTCCACCCGGGAAGCCACATTRGTGTAAACATTCCAGTAAATCCCTTCCTGCAGGCCACTGGGTAATTAAGGAGCTCTTTTCATAATAAGGTAACAAATAACACGTGCGGTTTGACAAATTAGATTCTCACATTTGCTAATCATCAACGCCGCACTCGGCAAGCCAGGACAATATTTCAGGATGTGGAAAGTCTGCAAGGAATTCTCTTACTGGAGATAAAGGGAGCCTGAACACAGGGCAGGTGCAGAAACTCCTAGGAGCCTGCAAACAAAGCTCTTCCCAACCCACCAGTTTTTGGAGAAAACCTTGCCCCAGTAACTCATGCCTCTGTCTCAACTTTCACAGCTGCTTCCACCACAAAAAAGAGAGAATTCTTTCCGAATTACACCTCCAAGCCACTGAGACCACTGTGACCACTGTGCTCCAAGAGGCAGGAACACCAACCACAAGCCACAAGGAACCTGCTCACCAGAATAACCTCAAGGTGTCAAACTTGAATGCTGTGGTCTTTACACGAAGAGTGTGGATGTAAGAAAAAGGCAGAATGATTTTGCACAAAAGGCAGAATGATTTTGCACAGGTGTGTTTTATCTGTGCAGGAACGATCACGACAACAGCCACAGCTCCTGGAATGAGACTCTGAGAAGCTCTGGGAAAGACACAGGAACCACAGGATGAAAGAACAATCCACTGTCCAAAACCCATCTCCAGTGCCAAAGTTTTATTGACCAAACAGTTGAGCCACTCCCAAAGTTTTTCCCTCGCAGAGATTTCGGCGCGGTGCCCTCGGATCTGCCCGGTGAGCGCTCAGCAGCGCCACTCCCACAAGAGCTGCCGGGCAAAGGCACCGGGACACGCCCCAGCGCTGCTCCGGAGGAGGCTCCAGCTCCATTCCCCGCCTCCCCAGCCCGCAGACACGGCCGGCCCACAGCTGTCCTGCCGGAAGGCGCAGTCGGAGACCTCGGCTGCCAAGCCCCGTGCCAAGGCCGCCAGCGAGAAGCRGTTTGGTGCAGACGAGTCACAACCACACTGCAGACAGTCCCTCTGTGGTGTTATCCCATCCCCTCTCCCTCTTCTCCAGAGCTCTGCCAGGGGAGAGATCCAGTGGTCAACGAGCTCACGATGGAAAGTTCTGTCAAGAGATTTTCACAAAGATTTTTCACAAAGATCACCAATTTTTAAGAGGCCCGGTTTTGCTCAAGCGCTGAAGCTGAATGTTGTGTCAGCACAATATACAAAATATTTTCTTCATGCTTCATCAATTAACCCAAAAAAGATCAAAGCAATCCTGGCAGGTGCTGAGCATCACATCYAGAGCCTGGTTTTGGGGAGAGGGCGGCACAGCAGAGCCCATGGTGCCAAAAGCAGCATTGGGCATTTTTATTACTTTGGTGCCTCCAAACTCCAGTTTGGAGATCCCACCCCAACAGTGCATGGAAGCAGAAGTGTGAAGCTCAAAGGTGGTGCTGAAGAGGAAGGCTGGCACCAGGAGCAGCAGATTTGGGAACAAAGCAGCTCCTTTGTACAGCAGGGATCCAGGCCGTGGTTCCACGGGGTCCCTCATGGCATCTCACAGTTTGGAGCTCCACCTCTGRCATGCTCACACTGTGCCAAACAAACAGCAGCTCTGGGAATGCCAAACCACTCCAGTGGAAGGYGTCCCTGCCCATGGCAGGGGTGGAAKGAGATGAGCTYTRAGGTYCCTTCCCAGTAACCCAACACMCACTGGGATTCTGTGCACCTACCGTCTGCTTCCTGTGGATGCTCACGATGTGAATGTCTTCACTCCGATACTCCTCGTCGTGCCTATCCAGGGGAATTTTTTCCAGCTCGAAGTCCATCTGAAGCAGCTGGTTACCAGAGAACCCACAGAACAATTCTACAAAGGCCTCTACAACAATTCCAGATGTTTCCCTCCCATACAGCACTTTACCCTCAACAACTCCAGCACCAACTCAAAGCAACACTATGCAACACTCCAGAAAAATCTATTTAAGCTTGGGATGAAACACTCCTGTAAGCATTGAAGATGTGTGGATGTGACATTCTGGGGACATGGGTTAGTGGTGGCCTTGGCAGTGGTCGGGGAATAAGGTAGGACTTGATCATCTCAGAGGACTTTTCCAACCTAAATGATTCTGTGAATTCATGATTTTGCTTCAGTGCCTGAAGTTCTAAGCCAAACCACAGCACCTGCCTGCCTGCAAACTTTCTCAATTGAAAGGGGGAAAAGAAAACAGGCTAGAACACCCCAGCATCAGCTCTGGGATGTGCTCAGATTGTCTGGGCTGAGCCTGGCAAGCCAAAGAAGGAAATAAATCACAAAAAAGCAGAAACCAGCCAGAAACATCAACACCTGTTGTTTTATTGCTGGGGAGCAGCACCTCAGCAGAGCTGAGCTCAGCCCTCCTCACAGCCAGGGCCCCACAAGAGTGAGGCACTAATTATCAAACAGGTGCTTTGATTAAAATGTACCAATCTCCTGAAATTCTCACCCTTTTTCTTTTTTTTGCAGTATTATAGTTATGACATATAATCCAGCACAAGGGCTGCTTTTCAACAGTCACCGGAGGTGCAGAATTAAACCTGCACCACCCCCACACAGGTGGTCCCTGTGTTCCTTTCCTTCATCTGCACACAAGATATAGCTGGAATATTCCATTGAAACACCTGTTAATGCTCTCTCAGTAGAGGGGGGAAATTTTTCAACAAGCAGATCTATTGCTCAGGAGAGAGTTTTGAGCTGCTGAGCAGAACTTTGTATTTTCCCTCTGCTTTTAGTGGAACAGCCTAAAAGAAAAATGTGCTTAAAASCCACTTACTTCAAAGTATTTTCTCTCAATTTCAGGGTTCTTCCCCATAGTCCTCTGTTCGTAGCAGCACAGGAGACACGTGTCAGGGCCAGCCAGGTCCTTCAAGGTCTTCAGCAATGGTTCCAACGACTGCCCAAAAGAGGTTAAACATTTCCCACTTGGATTTCGAGATCATTTCACTGGTTATGATACCCTCCAGCTAAAGTCTTCACCCAAGAGAGAACTTCCCAGTTTTGCTTTCCAGGGAGTTATWTTTAGTACTTTAACTGGGACAAGAAGAACATGGGGGGAAAGCTGGGAAGCAGAGGAGAAATGGGGACTCACAGAAGAGTTTCACAGACTGACCAAGAAAACTGCACTGGAATCAAAGCCAAAACCATCCCACACTGCTGAGTGGGCGCTTCCYGGAGGCACACAACAATGAGTATTCCTTGGTGTGTTTCAAAAGCGAGAGTTTTCTCAATTATTCCTGGAGTATGGCTGAGATCCAGACCACAATGTAGGGAAATGGGACCAACAGGCAGGGAGTCAATGCCAAGGGCTGGGAAAGCCACTGGAAGGGCACTGGGACATAGGGCTTTTTAGGTCATTTTGCTTTTCCTGCAGCTTCCCTTAGCATTCCATGCACTTCCTGCAGAGCTCCAGCTGAGGACACAGAGCAGACAAGAGCCACTTGCAGGAGCAGGATTTCCCCCCTTGCCTTCCCAAGAAAAGTGTGAAGAGAACCCAAACAGAGTAAATATAGCACTTTTAAATTTCATTTACCAATGGTTTCAACAGTTTACAATGTTTTGCTTCACACCTCATTCCCAAGGTGAAAAAAAAAAAAAGGGAGAAGGGGAGGCACAAACATTCAGCTGGGGATTTTTAACATAAAATAGTCTCTGGCTTTATCTCAAATGGCCTTACAYCTATTAAAAATGCCTATTCCAGTCCTGTTCTAAATATGCCTCTACACCACAGGGACCATGACGTGAACACAATATTTAGCTGAACACTTCTCAAACTGAACACACTGATCCCACCCCCTTCCCAAGGAACCTTTCTGTAGAGGTTTTACATTTACCTCCTCATAGTAAATGCAATCAGCCATGAGGATATAATCGGGGGGAGGCTGAAATTCTGTTACATCTTCACCCCTAAAAAGCACAAACAAGAAAAAAAACCAATTAAAAGCAAAAGCAAGTCTCAGCAATTAAAAACACACACTAAAGGTCTAAGTATAAAGTTAACTACTCTGTTGTTATAGTGAGGTTCTCTCTCACAGCAGTGATTTAAAGTTCTTTAGCAATTTAACAAAGCTAGTGCAGAATTATAGAAACCCTGAATGGTTTGGGATGGAAGGGACATTAAAGACCATTCAATGCTACTCCTTGCCATGAGCAGGGACATCTTCCACAATCCCAGGGTGCTCCAAGCTCTGTCGAGCCTGGCCTTGGGCACTGCCAGGGATCCAGGGGCAGCCACAGCTTCTCTGGACACCCTGTGCCAGGACCTCCCCACCCTCACAGCCAAGCATTCCTTCCCAATATCCCATCTAAACCTACTCTTTTTCAATCTGGACCCAGAATCCCAGTTAAAACTGAACAGAGACATTAAATAAAGGCTCATACAAACCATTTCAGTACCTTGGCTCGGACGGACCCTGTGAACAGGTGCTTGTTRTTCTCAATATTCGCCATCAACAGCTCCTGCAGTTCCTCCAGGTCTGTGACTGTCACGTTCGCCCTGAAACACACACAGGGGTTAGGAAATAACGCAATGGCTGGAGACACTCCGCACAGCGTAGAAAACAGGGTTTAAAGGAATCGGAAGGGTCTGAGGGAGACGATAACGCCGGGCAGGGGCTCCCCCTCACCCCAGCGTGGCTGCCATGATGCCCACGGCGCCGGTGCCCGCGCCCAGCTCCAGGACGTGGCGGCGGGCGAGTGGGCAAGCACCGGTCTCCAGGAACTTGGCGAGCACCAGGGCGGCGTCCCACACCACGCAGCCCACGCCGCCGGCCACCCGCTGCTCCAGCCGCAGCGCCGGCCCGTTCCGCCGCTCCAGCTCCCTCACGAAACCCGCCATGGCCGCGGCTCTGAGGCGGCGC